GCTCTCTCTCTCTCTCTCTCTCCCCTCCCCTCTCTCTCTCCCCCTCCCTCTCCCTGTCTCCCTCCCTCTCCCTGCCTCCCTCCCTACTCTCCAGTCCTGCTGCTCTCCTTCCCTCCTTTACCAACCCATCCGCTCGCTAATGCACTGCAGTAACAATCAGACATTCAACTTGAGGCGGCAGCAATTGGCGCTACTGGGATCTGTGTCTCCAGGACCTGTATCTCTGTCGACAATCGCTGCGAGGACCATCTTCGATTGCGTTCGCTTGGAGTAGACCTCTCTCCGTCCCCTGGCTCTACCTGCGTTGCAACTCTGCTGGTTGATATCTGCCTGAGGCTAAGATCCCGTGTTTGTACCATCTGCCGAAGGAAAACCGTTCCCGGCGCCACAGATGGCTCAATTTCTTCATTGTCTTGAGGAAGAACCAAATTAAGAATGACGGCCGTAAAACCTCCACAAGAGAACCCATTTGACAAAATAATAATCAATGCATCTCGAAAACCTGCATAGAACATACCATGAGATGCAAACTTGTTTCAGCGACAAAGCCAGCTGAAGATACGACTGCCCGCTAGTGTAGGAGTCCAGAGTTCAAGCCCACATCATGAGTTCTATGCAAGATATAAAGCATATGAATCTCAGATCAGCACCTGCGTTGACGGCATTGTTTTCTTCACAGGGATGGTTGGGAAGGAAGCCCACATTCATGACCCATGCGTCGCGTGGTTGAGAAGGAGCAGGAGTTGTAGCCGTTCCTTTTTGTGGTTGTTTATCTCACTTTAACCAGTGAAGTGCGCACTCTGCAAGCACCTACAGTTTCAATGTGCGGAGACGGGCATGGTCCAATAAGTTCACCGACATCCTTCGACTTCCCTGGAATTGACTCAGGAACAGTGCTTCAAAGTTCAAACCCTCAACTGATGGAAAGGGACTGGGAGAGTAGCAGGAGGGAAGGAGGAAGAGCACAAGGAAAAGAAAAAGATGAAAACCGGGGGTCGAACTTGCATGGAAGATTGTACGCGTCATGCATGAAATCGGTAATGTATGTTTTTTTCCCTTTGGATGTTTCCAAAACAAGCGAGACATACTTAGCTTTGATCTATGCACGTTACCATCTTCCAACTCTCGATTTCCGTCTTCTTGTTCTTTTCTTTGCCCTTCCTCCTTTCCTCCTGCTACCCACCATTCCCTTCTTATGCTGCATTTCTTCTAAGTGTCTTTTATCCTTCTTTCTTCTTGTCATCGGTCTTCTCTGTGTGTTCCTCCCTTCCCTCTCCTTCTTCCTCGTCTTCCTCCCTTTCTTCTTCCTTGGTTTCTTCCTCATCCTCATCCACGTCCTCATCCTCGTCCTCAATCTCGTAGTCATCCTCGTCCTTAGCCTCGTCTCCTCTTCCTCCTCTTCCTCCTCTCCTCCTCCTCTCCTCCTCCTCTCCTCCTCCTCTTCCTCCTCTTTCTCCTCATGTCAACCTCCTCCCTTTGTTTTTCCTTGATTTCATCTTCGTCATGTCCTCGTCTTCATCGTCATCCTCATCCTCATCGTCGTCCTCGTCCTCGTGCTCACTACCGTAGTCATCATTGCCGTTCTCCTCCTCTCCTCTTCGTCCTCTTCATCCTCTTCGTCCTCTTCTTCCTTCTCTTCCTCGTCTTTCTCCTCTTGTGAACCTCCTCGACTCTCGATTGGTGCCATCTTCCATGCAATTTGAACTCCCGCTTTCAATTCTCTTCTCCTTTTCCGTGTGCTCTTCTCCTTCTCTCCTGCTACTCTTTCATTCATTCCTGGGATATATACAGCACATGCCAAGGATGTATCCCTTGGCTCTGTATGGCCGGGCGAGGTTCATGGCACTCGTGCTGTTGAGTAGAGGTCCTGTGAAATTACAGGGTGTAAGGGTGGGTCAGCTGGGAGACGGGTGAGACAAGCATGGTTCCTTTTGGGCTTGGGCGCCATCGAGCTCTGCCTGCACTCACCCCTGTAGGCTGCACTCCAATGGCTGCGAACGGGCCACAATGGTCCTTCCCTTGGATATAGTTGGGGCTGGTTAGCAATATTGGCCCACTCTGGAACGAGAGTGACTCCTAGGCCAATGCCGAGAGACATTGCGATGATGAAACGGTTTCGCCGATTAATACCTTCTGAAGCAAGAACATTGAATCCGGATGTCACGACATTCATGAAGAGCTGCATTCCCGGCAAGCAAAACAACCATATCCACAAGATCAGCGGAGGAGTTGCCGTCCACCTGTTTTTTTTTTTTTTTTTTTTTTTTTTGTTATCGTTATTCCCCTTTTCACTTTCTTTGATTGGCCTGTCGTTTCATAGGGAGGCCAACACGACTGGGGCTTCGAGTTAGGGTGGTGGTATTGCAGTCTAGGCAGGCCCAATCCTTCGAATATCATCTGTATCGGGTCTGCACGTCTAGGCTTCACGCAATAGGACCCTAGTAGCTGTACTGCAGGGCAGATACAGTGGGCCTGATAAAGGGGAGTGTAAAAAAGAAAGAAAAGGGGGTAAGGATGAAAATCCGGTTTTGGGCTTGTGCGTGGACTTGCACCGCTATTCAGGCGAAGCTGTGGCGTGAAAGAAACTTGAAGCGCCATCCTTTCTTTCCGCATTTATTATTATTATTACCATTATTACCTTACCGGTCTTCAGGAGCGGCCTTCCTCCTCCTTTTGTCATTTCGCGGGAAGGCCAACGGTCCGAATTTGGAGCTGTAGTCCGAGTTGGCCTGCTTATATCGTCTGAGAATGAGCGCAGGCTGTACCGCGTGGTTGGGCCCCAAAAGAGGGGCGACCCGCGGCCGCTTCGGTAGGGAGCCCATCACCCCCTATAGGAGGTCATAAGCCCCCTCCTTGCCATCGGAGACGGGCACCCGATGAAGATTGGCCTGTGCTGCGTTTTTAAGAGGGAAATGTGACCTTTAGTATTCCGTTATGGGATCGCAGTGTCAAGCCTGCAGTCATATCGCTAGGGTTTAGGACGAACAAATGCTAGTTTAGTTTGCGATCAACCGTTGGATTTTTGGGTTTGAATATTATCGCCAAAAAATAAAAATAAAAGAAAGTTTAATTGTTAAGTTTATTGCTTTAAAATCCTTGAAACGCGGTAAGGTCTGAAAAGGACTAATCTGAGTCCTTCGTTCAGAACGCAGGGAGAAAGGTCTATAAAAGGAAGGACGGGTCGGTATATCGTCTGCGGCCAGTCGCCTGGTGGTTTACAGTCTGTACTGCGAGCTTCGGTGGGGAGTGGTCTGCTATTGGAAGTTGATTGCCTAGTGTTGTGCTGTCTATCAAGCGGGGGCTGGCTATCCTGAGTGGCTATGGCGCTGCATGGGTACAGGTCCGGGTACTGGTATCACCAGGCCCATTGGAAGCCCGTGTCCGGGGAAGGGCCCTGGATTACCATCATACTCAACTATGACGGTGGAGATGAGCTGGTACTGAAGATCAACGTGGAGGGAGCAAAAGAGGGAGAGATGCGGACTAACCCGAAGTTGCAGGACGCGATTTCGGAGGCGAGAGACCGAGAGGAGAGACGCTGTAGACGGGACGGAGTGACGGCAAGGCTATGGATAACGGTGGCCTATCACGAGACTGAGACCTCGACGGACACAGCGGACCTGGAACAGGTCCACCAGGACAGAGACTCGGGAGGGGAAAGTGAGATGAGTGACGCAGATCGGGAGACTAACCTCAGGTCCTGGAACAGACCAGGCGAGATCGAGAGGCATCACCGGGCGGTGAAGCCGGTGGAAGAGGGACCCGAGGCCAGCTCACGACAACTGACGCCCAAAGGCCGCGGGGCAGGAGAGAAGCAGATCAAGGGGAAAAGACAGGTCTGAGAAGAAGTGCGGGGCTCAGTGAGTGAACGGGACTGAACCCGAAGCGGGGAGAGCGAGAAGGCAAGTGTGCGGTGGGACAGACACGTGGCAGCTGGGAGAGCGGAAGAAGTCAACGGAAGGAGAGACTGTTCGAATGAGGGAGAAGCGATCTTCCCAGGTACAATCGACATCGACCTCGGCCTCTCCGCTCTCGTGGGGGCATTTCGTGTCTGCTGAGCCGCCGCAAGTCTTCATGTTGTGGCGGAGGTGACAGAAGGCGCCCGGAAGTCAGCTTTGGCCAACGTCGAGACATGCAGTAAGACGCGAGGCAGTTATGGAACGATTGTCCGCGCGAAGGGCTCACTTAAGAACGGAGGATGGTTGAGAAGAGACAGTAGTAGAGGGAGAGAGAGCCTCATGTCGCAGAGCCACGCGATGAGCAGGTCAGTGAGCACCTAAGCAGACACATACGAGCACTTGGGCAGCGCACGAAGAAGGGCGTTGTTGTTGATGTCCACCATGTTTTTTTTTTCTGGTCGTGAGGCTTGTACTTGATGCTCGCGCACGCAGCGACAAGCGGACACTGGTTTTCTCACCATTAGCAGGGGCTACTGCCTTGTCTAGCTGGTATGGAAACAGTGCGACAACGAGAAACGGAAGAGAGGAGGCATGTGATGTGAGAGGAGATTACCAGCGCAGAGCCTGGCCCGGCTGTCAGGGCTGACGACAGTAACTCAGAGTGAGTTCGTAACTCCCGCTGACATAGTGCGGCATGTACGAGGACAACCAATGCACTCTGGACACTGACTGCAATTGTTCCTTGTATGAGAACTGCGGCAGTGACACGTATCTACCCGAGTGGGGAGAACTCATGCGGGCGACTGGCGGACGATTAGGAGCGGCATGCAAGGAGAAGGTCAAAGAGGCATAGTGGTTGATGCCACGATTGCCTGACTTGGAGAAGCTTGAACTCCGTCATTCCATGATGCTGCAAAGATAGACCTTTCCATTGCTGATCGCGTAATCTGTTCAGCTAAGAACTAGTTGCTGATGGAACTTCATTACTCTGAAGGCGATTTCATGTACCGCCTGTCCTGCTGCCTCCGAGTAACCTTCAACTTGTGACGAGTACTGCTGTCGAAGGCCGTTAACACGCTTTAGTTTTCGGCTGTTCCGGACGAGACTTCAGATAAGATGGTGTTTGTTGCTAGATAACTTCTTTTGTCTTATTAATTTCCAATTTTCTTCCCTTTTGTTTTAGTTAATCTGAGCGATTGATCGTTTGTTAACTAATCACGTTTCGCTCTGACAAGGGTTAAGCCCACCGCAGACAGTGTGAGTAGTTGAACGAGAAGGAAAAGCCTCGACTCACTGCGACGATCAGTGATGGGCTGGTTGTGAAAGGAATCCGACATACAAGCTACTATTCTAAGGCAATTAGTAAGGTTGAAACGGTTGGATAATCTTGGTGATTGAAACCTTCTTACTGGATGTATTTCCCCGCGATTGAGTGGTCTATCTGATCACGTGTCAAGGCCAAAGAGACATGCGGCTATCACATTTGTGTGTCTTTCGCCGGACACCTGCACTGTGGGACTGCACCGCGCAACCGCGCCGTGTAATTGCACCGTGCAAACTGCGCCGTGTGACAGCGCTAAGCGGCCGCATCGTATGTCTAGATTCACGTGACTTCTCTGTGTGACAGTACCGTGTGAAGACGTGATTGTGTGAAATATAGGTTTGTAAGTGTTTTGCGTGATTGGATGACTGCCTATAATGAATAGAGCTTGACTATGCCGTGAGATGGATGGGGTGCGAGACTATGAAAGCTTGCAAAAGCTTATGCGTGCATGCTGAATGCCTTGTGAGTCTGGTAACTGCAGGCAGGCGTTTGATCGACTATACGGGGCTTCTTCTGTAAAAAAGAGGGAACGTAAAAATGATTTTCATTGACTGTTTCCTATTGCCTTGACCCTTGATTGGATGGGGAAAAGGAAGTTAGTATTGAGGAGAATCTCCTACATTCTTGCTAAATGTATTCTTGATGGTGACTGATTGTCATTTTTTTTTTGCTTGGATTGGGGCAAGATCCAACCGAATGGGAAATAGCACGAGTTCCCCATCATAGCCGAGGGGGTTTTAATCAGGAATGCAAGAAAAAGCATTGCGTGAACTCTCTTACCTTGTCATCTCTGGAGATGCTTGCCACATTTGAACCCCATGTAAGCGAAGATGAGATGAGCACAGGGGGCAATTCCCCTCAGAGCCCTCATGCTTACTCGTTCTTTAAAGCCCAAGCGTGGACGGGTCTAATACCAAGGAAAATGTCAGTTGGAAAACTAGGGCTCTGAACTGGCTATACTGGTTTTCAGCTAGAACAGGCATGCGAGTATCTAGGCAGATACTAATTTGAGCAGCAGGTCCTAGCAAAGAAAGAGAAACATGGGAGACACTGATAGACTGGTAATTAAAGGCACTATCAGACGAAATAAACAGAAGGGATGGGAAGAAGACGCGCTTAAAGATATGAAAACTCACATATTAAACCATAGGGAGTTTGCAGTCGGAACTGTCGGGGAGAGAAGGTACATCGAGTATGTAATTTACTTTTACGGGCAGGACGACAAGTTGCACAGTGCTAGCTCAACGTTAGAGACTGTGGAGCGGGCCAGAGCAGAACTGGAATAGACATAGGGGCGTCATAAACTCCTATTCTGGATCCATCGTTCCCTTTTCTTTCTCCCTTTACAACATTTCTCTGGTGCATGGCCAGCTTTCAAGGACTTCCAATCTAGTCGGATACTCAGACATTATTTAATCCAATGCTCAGGTATTTATTCAGTTGAATACTCAGATGAGTTGAATAATCAGACATTGCTCGGACGGACACTCAGATGATACCCTGATTAATACTCAGATAGTACTTCATCAAAGTACTCAAGGAAATACTCGAGGCGGTGTTCCGAAAAGTATTTAAAACTGTATTTGATACTCAAAGCAGTGCTCAGAAAAGCCCTGTGTGCTGTATTCAGTACCCAAGACATTACCAAAGTGCTCAAGGCGTTATCCAAACAACAAACAACTAGGGAAACTAGACTCAGTGACATACATGACTTTATCAACCTTGAACGTCACCAAAATGAACTCTCTTCCCCGCAGGCAACAGATTGAACTCTCTTCCCCTCAGCGTGTGAACACGGTAACTCATGATTCTCAGATAATTATCTTGGCAATAAGTTGAGGCACATTTTGAAGTGTGATGACATGTGAAGAGACGTTTCCATGACTTGATGCTCAGAACCATACTCAAGGCTATACTCGGAACTACACTTAGAATCATACTCAGAACCGTGCTCGA